AGGCTGAACCACAAACCCAAAGGATCCGGACATACTCTTAATAGTTGTTGAGATCTTTTTTGATGAGAGGTAAACAAGGGAAAGTTTTCTCTCCTTCCAACATTAGAAGAATTTACATAATCCTGTCATGGGCAATATGTGGTCTTCACCTTTGAGCCAACCATTAATCTGATTTGACTTCCAGAGTGATTTATCTCAAAGTTAATCTTTTCCTCTGAAACACACAAATATTATTCTAAAAACTCTCACAAGAAATATATAAGCAGCTTCTGACCCAGAAGTGTGAGAAGAAAAAAAGTGTGAGAAAACAGAAGTGTTGCTCCTCACCCTGGCTGGGGGGCTCAGTTGGTTGGAACATCTTCCCATACACCAAAAAGTTGCAGGTTCAATCCCCACTCAGGGCACATACCTAGGTTGTGAGTTCAATTCCCAGTGGGGGCGCACACAAGTGGGTGCAACTGATCGATGTTGCTCTCTTCCCCCTCCCCCTTTCTCTCTCACTAAAAATCAATAAACATCCTCAGATGAAAATAAAAAAAAAAAAAAAGTTGCTCCTCTACCTCCCCAAAAAGGATAGGGTAAGAGCTGATTTTTAAGAAAACATTTGTTTAAAAAAACAGAAAAAGTGCTGAGATAGGAAAATAAAGAGTAAGGCTAAAGAATATAAAAATATATACTTTTTGATGCTCCAATTTTGAAAAAAGATTAATAAATTCTAATTTCCCTTAATATTGTAATATTCATCTCTCCTTCTCAGACAGGGCATTCCTGGAAATAAAGATCAGGGTGAATGTGTGGGAATCAGCCACACTACAAGAATGGTTTAAGTACCCCTTCAAACTTCTTTGCATCTCACAATATTCCTTCCCCAGGGTCTAGGATTTTCATTGATATAGTCAACTCAAGGCAAAAAGAGTAAGACAAAGTTTCTGCCTTCAAGGAACTTCCATCCAGGTCTAGCGTGCTGGTGGGTTCACGTGTAACCATGTTAATAGATGCTTTAGTGACTCAGGCTGTGGAAGAAAGCACAAGACAGGAGCAGTCAAACGAGAGAAGCAGTCAAGACAGATTTCACTGGAGTAGCGGGAAGGGGAGACAAACTGCAAAAGTGAACATTGCATTCAAAGGCAAGCAGATACACAGCATGGGCCATCAGAGCCTTGCTAGTCTACCCGCCAGGAGCATCTTACCATCTGGGGGCTGGTTAGAAATGCAGAATCTCAGTGCCCTGCCTAGACCTACATAATCAGACATACATTTTTTAATAAGATCCCGGGGAATTCTAATGCTCATTACAGTTTCAGAAGCTCTGCTGACTTCAAGACAGTAATTTGGTAGGACTAGAATATACTGGGTTGACCAACAAGTTCATTTGGCTTTTTTCCGTAAGATGGCTCTAGTAGCACTTAGTTGTCTTTAACTTCATTTGAAACAATTTTGTTGGATTGCATTGTGACATCTGTCATATTGGCATGTATTTTTTTTAAAAAATGACCAATATTGGTGAATTTTTGTGTGGCTATTTTAATGCAGAAGATGGAAGAAAATATGCAACATTTTCGGTATATTATGCTTTATTATCTCCAGAAAGGTAAAAATAAAACCGAAACACAAAAAAAGATTTGTGCAGTGTATGGAGAAGGTGCTGGGGATGACTGAACATGCGAAAACTAGTGTGCAAAGATTTGTGCTGGAGATTTCTCGCTGGAGGACACTCTACAGTCAGGTAAACCACTGAAACTGACAGTGATCAAGATGTTAATTGAGAACAATCAATGTTATACCACACAGGAGACAGCTGACATACTCAAAATATCCTAATCAATAAAGTTACTGGTGAAAATGAAAAATGTGTCTTTTATTTTACAGAAAAAAACTGAACAGACTTTTGGGCCAGTCCAATAGAATAGCATGGAAAAAACTCTTAAGAAGTGAGGCTCCAGAGGCATCTCCAGATCATGAAGCACCTTCTCCGGGACCTAACGGAAGCCACCAGTGTCTGCCTGTAAGGAAACGACATGATCAAATTATCAGGGAGACCAGGGACTAACGTGGGAGCTGCAGGAAAAAGGACTTCATTCCAGATGAAGAAAACATAACAGGATTTAATCAGTTGTATGATCAACATATGGGGGAAAATGTCAATGATACATGAATGAGAAATCTCGAAGATACAGAAACAGCAATGACCACAAAGAAGGGAACACATGAGCAACAGTTTGGGGAGGAAAGGCGAGTCCAACGTGAGATGCGATGGGTCTGAAGTACCCGTAGCTCAACTAGAACATGTCTAACAGACTGTCTGTGTACAGGAGGAGAAATAATGCCATCATCAGAGAGGTAGGTAGGAACTGACGCCCTAAAAATGGAAGGATTAAAAGAATAAAAAAAGTGACTAAGGACAAAATTCCCCACATCAGCGTTCAAGAGATTAACAGAGGAAAAAGGAAGCAGCAAAATGAGTGAGAAAAATCCTAAGGAGAAGAAAATCAAGACTAGTGTCACTGATGCCAAGAAAAGGGTCTCATGAAGGGGAAATGGGAGACCGAGTAACACGCCAGAGGTCAAGGCCTTGAATGTGGACCATCTCACACATACATAAGTGATTAAAAGAAGTTATATACATATTGATGATAGACTTAAGGGTGATTTTTAGTTCACTGCTTTCCCCCTACATTTGGCAACTGTTCCTCAAGGCACATGAGTTTTCTAATTTAAAAATGTATAATAAAAAATTAATAAACAAGACAACGATGGCTTTTGCGGTGGTGACTGCAACAGGTAGAAGAGTGAATACGAAGCAAGTAATGAAGGATGGGAGTACAGATAGGGAAGAGAGATTGGGAAGCATCGTGAGTAAGTCCAGATTCCCAGGAAAGGTCTGTCTTTCAGGTGGGAAAGGTCTAGGCGTCCTTAGAGGCTGAGGGATAGAAGATTGCACAGAGAAAGTTTTCAGTGCCCAGGAGAAAAAGGGAACAAACACTTCTTTACTTGCTATGGGCTGAGCACCACAGGGGTGAACAAGTTCAAGTTCTGCTCTCATGCAACTCATTCTCTACTAAGAAAACAGAAAAGATAAGTATCAGACAAATCAGACATGCCTTGACAAAACTAAAATAAGGTAGTTTTTTAGAATGAGTGTTGAGGTGAGGCTTGCCTGAAGAAAGAGCATATTCCCTGGCCAGTGTGGCTCAGTGGGCTGAAGCGTCATCCCATAAACCAAAAGGTCACGGGTTTGATTCCTGGTCAGGGTACATGCCCAGGTTTCGGGTCCTGGCACCCCCCAGTTTGGGTGCATACTAGAGGCAATCTGTCAGTGTTTCTTTCTCACATTGATGTTTCTTTCCCTCCCTTCCCCTCTCTGTAAAATCAATAAGCATGTCCTTGGGTGGGTGGGTGAGGAAAGAAGGGAGGGAGGGAGGAAGGGAGGGGAGGAAGGGAGGGGAGGAAGGGAGGAAGGAAAGAGGGCATTTCAGTCCTAAAAGACAAGAAATCAACTTTACAAAGAAGCAGGCCTGTTACCTTTAGTTTACAGATAACGAAACTGAAGATCAAAGATTTCGCAGCAAGTTAAAGGAACCTGGGTCTGATGAACACCCAGACCTTTTAGAATACCCTTTCTACTAGACTGGGTTTCCCTCACATGCGACAGAAAAAATGAAGGACAACAATAAGAGTAAATGGCATGCCTTTCTTTGTCAAAAGAAACTCTGAAAGCCACAGATGTAAATCTTCAAAAGCAGAGGCATGAAGGTTAACTATTGAGGTCTAATGAGGAAATCTAGGGGCAGACTCCAGGTTACAAGTAGGCCACATTCCAAAATGTGTAACTAACTTGTTAAGAAGTCATAAAACATTTCCTCCATATAATTTTACATAAAGAGTAGGTTTCCAGGATGGTCCACAAAGATTCATGTAATCACAGTTATTATTATAGTAACTAATAAAGCACTTATCAGGTACCAGGTCCCATGTTAGTGCTTGACATAAAATTCTACCACTATTACTACTCCCACCTTATAACTAAAGAAGAGGCCTGGAGATGTTAAGTAACTTGTCCAATGGCATTATGCAAATAAAAAGAGAGGTCAGCAGTCCAGCCCTGGCCTATCCCACCTCCTTAGCTCTTAAACCTTATGCTGTCTCCCAAAATACCTTTACTTTAAATACCCGTCGTTCCAAAATCAGCCTTTCCCCAAACCTAAAACCTCAGTGCCCATCTTCCCTTCTCAGCTGGTCAGAATACTATTCAAGCTTCCTGCTCCTCACTCCACGCCCAAAAAGTCTATTATCATATCTATCTCCTGATAAACCTCAGTCCATGAGGGCATTTACTCACACATGTGACCCTCACTGAGAATTTAACTTGCCCCTGCACCCCCCAGGCCCCCCAAGTAGTGCCTTGCATGTATTCATTTATTCATTCATTGCCACTTACTGAGCCTACTGTGACCATTCCCAACCCAGATCACACCGTCATGAATACTAAAAGGAAACTCCAAGAAAAGTCAGGCAAAAGCCCAAACGGATCATTACTAAACGCCTATTTCTAAGCTATCCCTAGCTCACCCCAAATTCCCAACCAATTCACCCCCCCCACCATAAAAAATAAGTAACACTCGAAAACTGAGTCCCCGCTGGTTACTACTGATCACCAATAATGCTTGCACATGAGACAGATCACAAACTGGTCAACACTAAACACAGGAATAGCAACCGACCCTCGCAACGGCCCTTCGAAGCCCCTTTCAGCTGCAAGGGCTAAAGGTAGCCCGAGGACAGGGCCAAAGCCGGAAACAAGCCTTGCCCGCGGCCATGACCTTTTAAAGCCACCAACCCAATCACCCGAAAATCCCTGGTGGGGAGCAAGTTCTGAGGCCCCGGGATGCTTAGCCCTGGAGCGGAGAAATAGGCACGTAGAGAACACAGGAGACACCCGTCCCCAGCCAGCGTCAACGACCCGGGAGACGTCTGAGCTGCAGGTGTGCAGAGGCACTCACCCGGCCGCAGGCGCGGCGCGAGCTGCGGGCTGACAGACGGCGGCATGCGGCCGGCCCGGGCCGCCAGCGAGTAGGCGCATGGACAGCGGGAGGCGCGGTGCCACACCGGCACGGAGAAGCCAGCGTGCGGGTCTCAGAAGGGCTGCCATAGCTCGGCTGTCCCCAGTAGGTTGCACGTTCCGCCAGAAGGACAGGGGGAGCACGTGACCTCAGGGTCGCCCGGCGCGGGAGAGACCAAAAGCCTAGCGTGCCAGACGTAAGGGGAGGCAAGTGTCGCTTTAGCTTAGAAGATGTCAACACCTACGTCCCCGAGGAGATACGAGCCCCGTGCCAAATTTGAATGACAAATGTGGCTTGATATGTTATTTAATGGAGTTTCTCTCTCGGTCTTCTGTTTATCATCTTAGCTTGTGCAGACGCTCCACCCCTACGCTATTCGGTTGGTAGAGTCGGAAGAGGTCGACTCCTCCCAGGTTAGCGCAGGGGCTTGCCGGGGGGCCAACTGAACCAATGCTCGAGAACTCTCGGAAACAGCCGATTGTAAAGATCCCTGAGTGTGGCGCTGTTCTCTGCGGGGGCTGGTGTCCCCGCTGGCGTTTAGTGATTGCTGCTGGGAGCTGAAGTTGCCGCGCCAACTCATTGGAGCGCTCCCTCGCTTTCAGAAATGTGGGAGAGAAGAAACGTTGAGGACCTTTGCACTGTGCTAGGGGCCTCCAAAGTTACATGTAACGTGATTAGTATTATCGGGGCCAGGGGCGCAGTATAAAGGAATACACAGGTCCGACCCTAGGTCCTTAAGCAGTGCCTCCCTTTTAGAAATAGATGGAGTCTGACAAAGATCGTATAGTTTTAAACCTGGAACTAAACTCATTATCTTCCCCAACTCCCACTCTGCTCCTTCCGTCAGTAAATGCATCAGCATCAGAGGTAAGAGCAGTATGATTAAGAGTCTGGAGCCAAATCTGGGGATTAAACAGGAGGCTCTTGCTTTCCCATGGTGTGCAGTCTGGAAGCGTTCCCTGTGCACACGTGGGGAGCCCGGAACAGGCTTCCACTCCCTCTTCACCTAGTTGTATCCTACCCATTGCCGGGTGAGCACTCAGAAGTTTCCTCTGGAAGTCCTCCACCGTAATTACCCATTTGGCTGTTTATCCCCCGCCACCACCACCCCTCCCTCCCTGCCTAGCTCTTAGCAAAAACTGTGACTTTTTCTTATAGCCCAAGCACACACTCAGTGCCCGGCACCCATTAGGGTGCATTGTTTACTGAATAAGTGTATTTTGAGATTATCTAGTTTACAATCCTTTGAGAGATGAAATCCAAAAAAAGGTTCATTGGTTTACTCTGGGATATGCTATCAAGCATTAGGAATATATTTTATTCACTCATTCAACACATTTGGGGAACACATATTCAGTGCCGGGCTCTATTTGAGATAGGCGATACAGCAGAGAACAAAACAGACCAAGTCTGGTCTCTGATTAAGCATTCCGAAGTTTATTTTTGGGAAGAGATAAGAACTGCGTGGTAAAATAAATCAGGGTGTAGGGATTGAGGAGGACATGTGTGGCCCCTTCAAAGAGGAGAAAGGAGAAAGGAGGACGGTGGATGTGAGAAAAGAGCAAGGCAGGGAGGAGAGGGATGGTGAGCATAGAAGTCAGGTAGTTGGTGGCCAGATCAGGGTGTTAATATGCCACTGTAAGAACTCTGACTTCCGTTCAGAATGAGATAGGAAACCATTGTAAAATTTAGTGTGTTGTCATGATATAAATCCATTTGTGGTTTTAAAGGATCACTCTAGCTGCTCTTTGGAGAGGTGATTTTAAGGGATAAACATACTTAAAGGTAGAGAGATCAGTGAGGAAACCCCTGCAATAAATTACACAAGAGATGGTAATGACTTGGATGGCCCCGCCCAGTTGGGGCGGGGCGGGGGTGGAGATAATAAAAGGCCAGTTTTCATTCTTATTTAAGTAGTAGAACCTGGATTTACTGGTGGACTGGCTGTGGGATGTAAGTCAAGAATGACTCCAAAATGTTTGGCCTGAGAAAGAGGGAGATGGCACTGATTAAAAATTGGGAAGACTGTGGGAAAACAGATGTAAAAGTTGAAATCAAAAGTGATCTTCTGGGATATTAAGCTTGAGGTGCCTGTTAGACATCCAGAGGTCAAGTTTGAGTAGGGAATTGGCTGTATGACATACAAGTCCTGAGATCAGAGTTAGAGTTACATTTGGGGATCTACAGCCTATACCTAATAATGAAGCCACTGGGCATCTAGGAAGAAAATATAAATAGACACAAGATGAGATCCAAGGACTGAGGCTTGGCTTGTCAAATTTCAATAGTTAGAGGATGTGAAAATGAAAATCCAGCAGTAGACACTAAGAATAGCCGGAGAGGTAGGAGATCTTCCAAGCAGCAAGTTAAGCGCTAGAAAAAATATGATGGGCAAAAGCAGGAGCAGTCGTTACTGTTATGGAGCTTACATTCCAGAGGGGGAGGCGGATGTTAATCAAGTAGTCATACTAAATGAATTATGCATTGAAGCATGGGTTCTGAAAAAGAAACATGTTTCCATGAGAATATGCCTCACCTGGAAGTCAGAAGGTTCCCAGGGAAAGGATCCTTAGGTTGGAATTAGAAGGATGAATAGTTGTTAGCACATGCAAGGTGCATATGTGTCTGTATGTTTCATATGTGTGTGTGAGAGAAAAAGTGGTGTTTGCTTCTTTTTCAGTGCAGACTTCTCAAGTTCTCAGATCTCTTTAGAATGCAGAAGCTGTGACAAAGTGGAAGAGAAGTCCAAGCTGATCGTCCTTGGTTTCTCCCTTAGCTTATTCTGATTTATGAAATGGATTCAAACACTGGCTAGGAAATTAAGATCTCTGACTGTCCCAGTGAATGGTATCGCTTCTGAACAGAATCTTAGAAGGACAGCTTAGGAGCTAGATTTTGCAAAAGAACTTAACTGCTTGATTTCCTTGTGTGTAAAGCTGGCGATACCCAGCCTTTCCTCCTAGGATTTTTTGGAGGAATATTAGGGGTTTTTTTAATGATCCAAAAAATTTTATTTATTTTTTATTTTTTAAATTATATTTTCTTGTTTAGGCTATTACAATTGTGTCAATTTTTCCTCCTTTGGCCCCCTTCATCCACCCCCCACTCCCTCAGGCAATCTCCACACCACTGTCCATGCCCGTGGGTCATGCATATATATTCTTTGAGTACTCTACTCCCTCTACTGTACTTTACACCCCCATGGATATTCTGTAACTACCTATTTGCACTTCTTAATCCCTTCACTTTTTGCCCACCTCCCCAATCCCCCTCCCATCAGGCAACCATGAAAACATTCTCTGTATCTATGATTCTGTTTCTCTTCTTGTCTGTTTTTTGTTTTTTAGATTCAATTGTTTTATAGACACATATTTTTGCCATTTTATTGTTTGTATTTTTTATCTTCTTAAAGAAGAGCCTTTAACATTTGATATAATACTGGTTTGGTGGTGATGAATTCCTTCAGCTTATCTGTCCTTCAATTCCAAATGATAGCTTTGTTGGGTAGAGCAAGCTTGGTTGTAGGTCCTTCCTTTTCATCACTTTGAATATTTCTTGCCAATCCCTTTTCACCTGCAAAGTTTCTTTTGAGAAATCAGCTGACATTCTTACAGGAGCTCCCTTGTAGGTAACTTTTTTGTAGGTAATTTTTTCTTGTTGCTTTTAATATTCTCTCTTTGTATTTAACCTTTGGCATTTTAATTACGATGTGTCTTGATGGGGGCCTTTTGGGGTTCATCTTGTTTGGGACTCTTTTTGTGTTTCCTGGACTTGTATGTCTATTTCCTTCACCAAGTTAGGGAAATTTTCTGACTTTTTTTTTCAAATAGGTGTTCAATTTCTTGCTCTCTCTCTTCTCTTTCCAGCACCACCATGATGCAAATGTTGGTACACTTGGAGTTGTCCCAGAAGTTCCTTACAGTATCCACATTTTGGGGATTCTTTTTTCTTCTTGTTGTTCTGATTGGTTGTTTCTTTGCTTCCTTATATTGCAAATTGCTGATTTGATTCTCAGCTTCAGCCACTCTATTGTTGATTCCCTGTAAATTGTTTATATCAATGAATGTTACCTTCATTTCTGTCTGGATAGTTTTTATGCTATGGAGATACTAAGTTCATTGAGCATCCTTATAACCAATATTTTGAACTCTGAATCTAGTAGATTGCTATTGTCCACTTTGTTTAGTTTTTTTTTCCTGGAGTTTTGTTCTGTTCTTTCATTTGGGCCGTGTTTCTTTGTCTCCTCATTTTGGTGGCCTCCCTGTGTTTGTTTCTGTGTATTAGGTAGAGCTGCTTTGTCTCCCAGGCTTGGTAAAGTGGCCTAATGTAGTCAGTGTCCAGTAGGGTCTAGTGGTACAGGCTCCTCTATTACCCAAGCTGGGTGCTCAAGGTGCACCAACTGTGTGGGTTGTGTATACCCTGCAGTTGTAGTTGAGCCCTGATGGCTATTGGCATGTCCAAGGTCAGTCACCATCTGTGTCCTGTCCAGGATCACACAGCATAAGCTGCAAAGGGATCTGCAGATTGCTGTTACTTGTCCTGGGCTTGAAGGTGCCCAAATGACGCCAAGCTGTGAACCAAGGCCAGCTGCTGCTAGTGCCAGGCCTGGGCTACTAATCAAGAGGTATGGGGCTTGCTGAAGCCAGATGCTGTTTGTTTGAGACAATTTAGGAAAATTTGAAGCATGGGCCAAGACAAACCATTTGTATGGAAAAACTGCTGGAAACAGCTTGGCAGACCCAAAAGTTTGGTGGGGCAGAGCCTCCAGGAATCACCAGGGTAGGGCAAACAGTGTGAGCCAGGTTGATGGAATCCCAGCTATGGCATCTGCCTGCCAGCTCTGTGGCTCTGGGTAGGGGAGGGGGGAGGCAAATGTGACAATACCTTGATAATCACTGAATTGGGCTGATGTAGGAGTTTACTTTACTCTTCCCTCCACTTAGCATATATTTTTAAATGTTTATAGAGAAAAAGTCTTAATTATTGGTTGTACTTTGATTTTACTACTCATTAATACAGCATGACTTGGAGTTTGAAAAACACTCATGCCCACCAGGCAGACAGACTTACCAGTCCATACCTGTGAGAGCTGCGGGTCCCTTCATGGGAACAACATGGCTGATTGACCTCTCGGGAAAATAGTT